TGCTGTCACAGACATCCACAGGTGGAGGAGGAGGATCAACTGGAGCGGAGGCAACACCTATAACAGACAACACCAAGAAGGCAACAGTCGTTGCATCGACGGCAACCGCAGGAGCCTCAGCGCAGGCTACTGCTGCTGCTGCTGCTGTTGTTGGAGAGGAAGCATTAGAAGCAGCAAAGAGTGCGGCAGCAGCCGGTAGATTTGCAGCAGAAACCTCAGAGTTACTGGACAAAGGAGGGGTATCAGTGGAGTTAGCAGTCATCACAGCAAAAGCAGCATACACTGCTGCTGAAAGGGCCGCACAAGCAGCTGAAGAAGCAGCAAGGACACCAGAAGCCCTGAAGTTAGCAAGTGTGGCAAGGCAATCTGCGATGGCATCAAAATCAGCATGGAATGCAGCTTCGACCGCAGCCTCTACAACTTCACTGGCAGGTCTGCTGAGTGCCAAAACAATGATTGAATCTGCAGCAACAGAAGCAGAAAAGGCTGCACAACAAATGCAGGACATTGAAGAGGATCACACTTCCAGAGCGTCACGCCTGAACATGTTACAAAGGACAAGCACTGTGGCAGACTTGGCAAAATCCACGTCAGAGATGGCAAACAAAGCTGTGGAAACAGCAGTTCGGGTGTTGACAGCACCACAGCCCACAACAGACCTAGAGGAAGTGATGAACTCGTCAGCAGATGTGGCTGTGACCACAGCTTTGATTGAAGTGGACTTAGTAGATGATTTACTAAAACAAGTCTCAGAAGCCTATACAGGTTCTGGATCTGGTTCTGGTTCTGGGTCGGGATCTGGATTGGAGTCTGGTTCAGGATCTGGTTCTGGGTCTGGATCAGGAAACAGCACAACAACAGCAGCTGCCGTCCACATGAGGATGAGCGTGGTTTGGGTGACGGTGGCTGTTGTTGTGACTGTGCTTGTTTAAAGACACTGATCCTTTACAGGTGTATTTATTATAGCCATTGTTTCTTGTTTTTCATTGGTATCTTCATATGTAACCCGTTTTCCTTACATTCAAAATGTTTATTGGAGAAGGTGGATTGCCATAGGATAAAATTCATTAATCAGTTTAAACAAAATTTGTGACAGTGGTTAAATTTAACCTTTAAAACATTGTGTAAATTAAGCTATTTATTATTTTATTTATTGTGTGTGTGTGTGTGTGTGAGAGACCTGTACGTTTATTACATGTCAAGTTGATAGAGTGAGTGGGCACAAGAATGTTAAGAATTTGTTCAAATAAAATGTTAAGAATTTGTTCAAATAAAATGTTAGATATTTGTTCAAATAAAAGTTTAATATGTTTAGATTGTAAATGGTTGCACAGAAGAAAACAACTGCACTAAATAATTTATGATAGACTTTAAAATCAATAAATAAATGCGTTGATGCTGAACAGTGATTGGTTCTTGTTCAGTTTGTGTGTGGTTCTCTTAGTGTGTATTCCACCCTATGTCAAAACTGAAGGCTATGAAAAAGCAGTTAAAACTTCCCAGGAATTTACTCTAAACCCCTCTAGACCATGAATTTATCAGTAGGGTTAAACCAAGTTACCGTGATGTTAAATGGGAATGTGATTTACATTAGCCTAAAGCAAGTCAAAATGCCAAGATTAGAATAATAAAAATCTGAGATTATTTTAGATTTTCACAGGTTAACGGCACAAAAGCAGAAGAACAGCTCAGTTATGACAAAAATGACTGCCAAAAACTTAACCAACGTCACAGAGCAGCTCAATAAAACTGCACCACATTCAATAAATCAGTTCATCATACAGTAACGTCCACTGCTTTATCTCACTGTTAGTCTTCACACACAGACACCCCCCCACAGACCAATTCAGTTATGTTAGCTCACTGACCAAAGTCCATAGAGAATATCAGTGATTTTAGTTCAGACCAAAAAACACAAACACTGCAGTTGTTAATTTTGTTTGTTTGGGACAGACTAGAGTGGGAGAATAAGTGGTCTAAAAATCATATGTATATATTATAATGATAATATATTGCTGTAATATTTCTAATATATATCTTTGGTTGTGATTTTTTAATCAATCGTGCTTTTTAAGATTTTATCAAATGATGCTACATATGAATGAATTTATGTAGGCCCTCAAAGGTAGAAATGTGTCTTTATTGTGATAATTATTCTGACACACTCACACACTTGAAGGAGTTAGAATCTGCAGACAGTAGAACATATCTAATTGCTTCAAAGAATTTAATTTGCCCCTCTAATGAAATGAGACATTTGCCTTCTGGGCGAGTACTTTTTGTTTCTCTGCCTTTGACATCTTACATACATTAACATCACAGCTATTTCCTTGACTAATACTTTCACTGGAATTATGCTGTGGTGTGCAGCTGTACCTAACAAACCGGCATGTGGGTGTGACCTGACCTCAATATGTTTTTTTCACTTTTACCTACTTCACTGTGATTTAGTTTGTGAATAAAGGACTTCTTCTTAATGTCTACGTTGCCTTCTCAAAACAATACAGGCTAGGCATTTGAAGGTACAGGAGCACCATTAACAACTGCCCGACTGTCAGTTCCTTCAAATAACTGATAGAGCAACCCCAAAACAATTTACACTTTTCTACATCAAACCTCAAAGAAAATCCTTCATTTTAGTTTTTGTGCCCTCACTGTTGTCCCTATTACAAAGTCCAAATGTTTTATATTTGTGACTGTTATGTTCATATATGTGGACATAACCTGACCACAGGGGGAAGCAGTGGATCTACAGCTTTATGTCCCTGAGAGCTAAAATTAACCACTTTGTGATTAACCACTTTGACAGACTAAAATTAACCACTTTGTCTTGACTGGAGTTATGTCTGAGACAACACCTTCACAGAGAAAAATATTTGTAGTCTATTGTTGTACCTTATTAACTGATGGGTGTGACCTGACCTTAGAGCTGTATCTTCTAAGATAGTTTCCATGGCGACTCTATGGGTCAAACCCTCCACGAATCTTCCACATTATGTCCTTGGAAAACCATCGGTGATTTAGGCTTACAGCGGCTGATGGCCCACCGTTGCTTCTTCCAGTCACTTTGATTGAGAGGGGTGTGTTTCCAAAGCCTGAAGACACAAAATAACACATTTGCAATTACTGAGAAATGGCTTTGGTGTCATTTTCAGTTAAATTAAATTAATGATGTGGCCTGTGGATGTACTTAATCAATTAAAGCCTGTGTATTGCTTGACTTTAGACTTTTACTTTCTGCACAGTCGTCATGTTTTGTTTGGTTTTTTTGCAAGAAGAGCCTAAAGAGGAAATTATGATTTGGCTGTTTGAAATAATTTATTTACAAGTTTAGGAACTATATTGGCTTTGGTCTATGAGCTAAAATCACTGATTTATTTCTATGGACTTTGCTCTGTGAGGTAGAATTACTCATATTTTCTCCATGGATTTTGGTCTGTGAGCTAAAATCGCTGCAATAAAAACATTTTGGTGAAATAAAGTCAATGCTAATGTTGGTGCCTAGTTTTATCTGACATAAGCCTAGTCCTAAGTAAGCTGCGAAGAGGAAACACAATATTCCGAAAGGAGTTTCGCCCCACATTCTGCCATGGCACTAATAAACAGGAATATCTGAAAGGTTGGTGAAGAAGAACAGGAAATAAAGCAAGTACTGTGATTCATGCCACTCCCTCCATGAGACACAAATCCAGTTTGACAACATTATGACAGTTTCACTGTAATTATCAAATGTATAATTTTCTATTGTCATATTTAATTGACAGTCATCACACACCCAGCTATACAGTTATTAGGCTGGAGTGAGTTTCAAAGAAGCTCTAACAAATGTTTAAAGGACACGTTGCCTTAAATATGGTCCAAGTACCACAGATAAAAGTGATTATTTTTAGGTCGGGGATTTGATATTTAATATACAATCAGTGATACAAAATGCCCATTCAGGTAATATGCCTGTGGTTTTCAATCACCTGCTTTCCACTCTATATATTTTTCACATCTTAGGGTCATATTTAGTCAGTCCTGGTTCTGCTATGGAAATGTTCAGGTTTTATTTGTCAAACTCAGTTTTAGAAGGGGACAGGGTTTTTAATTCAAATTTAAAGATTAGACAAATTAATTCTTCACCCTGTCATATGATTTTAGGCATTTGTTTAGCATGTTTCATAAATGTTGCAATATTTTTTGCATTAATCTGCTTTTAGCAAAACGATACGATACAGTTTTTTCATACATTTTAGTATTTTAGATAATATAAAACATGTAGTATTGTAAATATATATTCGATAGATTAATATAGTGCTATCTATCTATGTAACGTAGATACGTGCGATACTATATGTTGACTTGAGACCATTTCTTCACATTTTAGTTTAACTTTTATTTATGTATTTAGTTGTTTAAATGTTAGCTGTTTAGTTTGTGCGTTGGTTTTTCCATTACTAGTCATTTTTACTTACCAATCATTTAGCCGTCCGTTTTTGTTTTGTTGCATTTCTTCGACAAGTGTTGTTGTTTATGACAAACTGTTCCTAAGTCTAAGACCAATTTCTACACTGACTGTATGACATGTTCAGACTCACTGTAGTTCTCGAAGCTTCGCACAGGGATCCGCCATTTTGTAGTTTTGGCGCCGTTTTCACAAAAACACATTTAACCCTAATATATTCGTCCGTAACGTACCGTTACGTGAAGTCTTGCTTAACTATTCGTTTAAACAGTGGTACCGCTGCTGGACTTCGAATTTAGCAATATCTCGTTCAAATTCTATCTCACGATGCAGTGTGCGGTTTGGTCGCGGTGTCGCTTTGGCCTCAGATACGCCCATTTTGGAGCAGCACTTGCAATTTGTACACAGAAGAAAAATAACCTAGAAGCTGCTGATACATTTTTGTATTTTACATAATATTTAGTGATTTTTTTTTATACATGTGGCCACCTAAGTTTGTTTGTTGAATATCTTCGACGAGTTTTAGCCATTTTGGTGTTTACTGCAAACTGTTCCCAAATCTGAAACTAATTTCTACACTGATTGTATGACATGTTCAGACTCACTATGTGTAGTTCTCGAAGCTTCGCACAGGGATCCGCCATTTTGTAGTTTTGGCGCCGTCATATGGTACGTCCTCGTTTCCACAAAAACATTTAAATATTAGTCCATGACGTACCATGTTGTTAAATCTTGCTGAAATATTTATTTTAACAGCGATGCCGCTGCTGAGCTCCGAATTTAGCAGTATGTCGTTCAAATTACATCTCACGTTGTAGTGTGCGGTTTGGTCGCGGTGTCGCTGTGGCTCAGGGCCGCGCATTTTGGAGCAGCACTTGCAATTTGTCCACAGAAGAAGAAAAATAAACAGGAAGCTGCTAACGTTAGCTTTGTGTAAACGTTTGACGAGTTTTTGTATGAAGGTTGTAACATTTCATTATTCATTTCACTATTTGTGTCTCTTTTAAGTTGGTGAAAGACCGTAAACTCTGACTCTCGCAAGCAGTGGACCTGTATTCAGAGTGTTTTCGTAGTGTGTGCGGGGTTTACAGTAGACTGTCAGGTGAGTTTACACCGAGCTGTCAACAGTCATCACAGTTTTAAACATGTCTCACTCAGTTTAAGGAACTTAATTATAAAATGGTTATACTCTTAATTCAGCTCACGAAAATAAACTCTAAAAAGTTTTGCATTGTTTAAAAAAAGTCACAGTTACTTTGTATGTATTATTGTCACAGTCATGCACTGACGGCGCCCTCTAGTTACAACAAGTTAAAATATGCCATAACCCTATCCTATCTTTATGTTTACAAATATCCCTGTATTCTATTTATGGACGTAGAGGTGTGTGTGGTATTGTACAGTTATAATAGTGTTATAAGTCAAACAAACTGAATAAAATTATTATTATTCCAACTCAAAAAAAAAACAAACAAAAAAACATTTCCTTTCCAACATTACCTACAATGGCCAGTCAACTGTGCTAAAGTCACCTGCTGCGTTCTTTGGACCCAGTCAGTTTACTGCTGTGAGAACAAATGTTCTGAGCTCAACACACATGTCTGTCTTTTTGTTCTAGGGGATTGTGGGGAAACTGCAGCCATGACAGCTCCAGTGAACATCCAGACCCCGAGTAAGAACTGGGAACTGAGTCTTTATGAGCTGCACCGGAGCCCACAGGTACAACTGTAGGCTAAACACACACACGTCACTTTAGAATGTTCTTTGAAGGGAGTGCAGCTTCTGTGGAACAACCTGAGAGCCAGATGTTTGCTCAGTGTCTAATGAATTCACTGCTTTAACACTGAGGTTTACGTGGGATGTGCCCTACAGGAGGCGATCATGGACGGCACGGAGGTGTCAGTGTCTCCTCGAGCTCTACATAGTGAGCTGATGTGTCCCATCTGTCTGGACATGCTAAAAAACACCATGACCACCAAAGAGTGTCTGCATCGGTTTTGCTGTGACTGCATTGTCACTGCACTGCGCTCCGGGTGAGAACTGGAAGTTATGCAGTGACTAAGTGGTTGGGAATTATGATTTTACTCTTAGAATTAAAGAAAAAAACTATTACAGAAAATGTACAGTACGTACCACTTTGTTTAAATTATCTCACATTTTCAACAAACTTACTTAGCTCCACCCCATCCACCCGTAGGAACAAAGAATGTCCAACCTGCAGGAAGAAGCTGGTCTCCAGACGCTCGCTGCGTCGAGACGCTAACTTTGATGCACTGATCTCTAAAATCTACCCGAGCAGAGAGGAATATGAGGCTCATCAGCAGAGAGTTTTGGAGCGACTCAACCATCTCCACAACCAGGAGGCTCTGAGCTCCAGCATCGAGGCCGGGCTTCGACAGCAGGCTCGCTGCAAGAATGACAGGTCAGGGCCGATCAGAGGAGCCAGTAGCAGTGAGGTCATCACACTGGCTGTGAAATATTCACTTTCAATGTTTGGATTAACCTTAAACGGATGGACAGCCCTTTGGTTGAACGGATGATCGCTGTCGGTTGTTTGGTTAGCTATAACAAACATACTGTACGAAACACCAAAAGTACAAGTAATTTCCTCATTCTCATTCATGGCCAACTAAAGCATTTTAATTACTATGTAAAAAAAAAATGAATTTGAGGATTTAATAATAATTGACGTCTAGTCAAGGGCCAGATGTGAGGCGTGGGTGGACCTGTAATGGCCCCACAGTCAGGAGTTTGAGACCACTTCTCTAAAGGTTGGGTAGTTTATGAATGTTGGATGATCTGGTGACTGTTTAACTAAACAGATGTTGGTTTGGATATTGACCTTGTTAGTTAGTTAGTTAGTTGGTTACTCTGGGGCCTGGTTGGTTGCTCACTTTGTTGGACAGATGAAGGTTCTTCAAACAGACTTTGTCTCCCCCTGCAGGAACCACAGGTTGAAAAGACCAGCTCAGGAAAGTGACACCAACCCCTTCAGTGGAGGTGAGGATAATGGAGAAACACACTCACACCTGTCACATGACTCCGCCCCGTGTCACACGGCACAGTCCTGTAGCCACACCCCTTCAGAGGCGGGGCCGAGCCGCAAAAGAAGAAGCAACTCAGAAGACGGTTCGGGACCTGAGGATGACGGGGGGAGTCTGCCTCCCCCCAGACGCTACAGAGAAGGGCAGGCCTCTGAGATTGAGCTGGTGTTCAGACCACACCCACATCTGGTCCACGCCCATGACTACAACCAGACCAGGTGAGGCGGGGGACGCAGGTGAGCTTCCTGTTTCTGAATCAGAACTGTTCTCTTCAACAGACTGTGGTTCCTCTTAGGTTCGTAAAGACCACGGCCAACGCCACCGTGGACCATCTGTCCAAGTACGTGGCTCTGCGCGTCTCCTTAGAGCACAGAAGTGCCAGCGAGGAGGCGGAGCATAGAGGAGGAAGGGAGGGGTCATGTTTGGGCCAAGTCAGTGAGAAACAGTTCACCATCTACATCATGACCAGAGGACAGTTCACGGTGAGTAACTGTGGGCGGAGTCAAACAGTGGAGACACAACACATCACAAGATGTGTTGTGTCACAAATGTAAATGTTAAAGGGTCAGTGCAGAGTTTTAGGAAGTGGAGAAGTGGGCGGAGTTTTTGAAGTTTTTGATTTTGTTGGCTTTAGGACCTGGATGTTGAAGTTCTGCTTCAGATCTTTGTTTCTTTTGTTCAAACTAAGTTTGTTGTGATGTCACTTCCTTTAATAAGCTGCTCCTCCTCAGACCCTGAATGGTTCTCTGACCCTGGAGCTGGTCAACGAAAAGTTCTGGAAGGTCAAGAAACCCCTGGAGCTCTATTATGCCCCCACCAAGGACCACGCTGCCCCAGCTGACCACCAGAGGTCTCCACCTCCTCCTCAGAAGGAAGGATGAGCAGTTTGTTAGAAATTAAATGTTGTTTTTTTAAACACTAATTATTTTTCAGCATTTAGATTTGATCTGTAAAATATAACAGAATATTTTCTTTGAACTGCAGTGTTTTCAAAAATAAAAGCTTCTGGAAGTTTCTATTCCATCCATCATCTACTGCTTTCCAGAGTTACAGGAGGGTGGCGCTATGACCCTGGTCTGTTGTTAATGGACTGTGGCAGGACACACACACACACACACAGGGTGAAGGTTCAAGCACCTTGATACAGGATCGACTGGGACTTGAACCAGCAAACCAGTGATGTTTCACTGGAACCTCCGACCCACGTCCTCTCAACTGTAAAAAGTACCAAGAACTGTGCCAAGCACAATTCATTTCACATTAACCATGTTCTAACATATAAATAAATGAATAAAGTTCCATCTTAAGTCCTTTCCCCAAGCACAACACTTTTATAGAACCATGAAACAATGGCTCCAAAGAACAGTTCTGACAGATGGAACCACCGCTACTGTTGTAGAACTGTTTCCACACAGCAGGAACTGATTTGTCTGATCTTCACTGAAACACTGTCTCTGTTAAAATGGTTCCTGTTACTATGTTATATGTACTGTACATGGTAGTACGTCGAATTTCACTGAGGTCAGAGGTCGTGCTCTGGACTCATCCAGTGAAAAACACAAAGGTTTGGACACAGCATTTTTCTCATGCCCGCAGTTCAACTCCCAGCATGCACTGCCTGAACACACCAGTTCAGTTCAACACCAGAACTTTCTTTACCACATCAGCATCAGGCCCTGGTCGTGACTAGTACAGATGTAAAGGTCATCGTGTCGCCACAGTGAAGAGGAAACAGTCATTAGCTACTGCTCACTGTGCTGTAGTGATACAGACACACAGGTCAAAGGTCAACACCGGTCTACAGTCTTCGTTCATTCTCATCACCGCCTCCAACAGGTAGTTTCAAGGGTGAGAGTTGAACAAGTTCTTTCCTATTCTCACAATTTGGTTTAATTTGAACTAGGGTCAAAGGTCAAGGGCAGTTCAGTCATGATGAAGAGACGATAAGAAGACAAACAGGTGTGTGAACTGATGTGTTTTATTATCCAAAGAGCAGCGGGGAGCAGCAGGTTACTTCTTCTTGGACACGCCCACAGTGCGCCCACGACGGCCGGTGGTCTTGGTGTGCTGACCGCGCACACGCAGACTGTAGAGAGAGAAGAGAAGAAGTTTAGTCCAGCTTCAATCTGTCGAACACACGGTGGTGACTGTAGGAGTGAAGCTACAGTCGCTGAGGTGGTCACAACAAAGACTGATTCTTTGACCAATCAAAACACCCCCGGGAATAGAACCCACAACCCTCTGGCTGCTACTTCCTGTTCTGTTCTAGTTCAGTACAGACGACAGAGGACCAGTCACAGCTGGCTGTAGGACAACCCCCACCATTTAACCTTTAACCTCCTGTAGGCCCAGCTGGTCCTGAATCGAACTCTTACCCCCAGAAGTGCCTGAGTCCACGGTGAGCCCTGATCTTCTTCAGCCTCTCCAGATCTTCTCTCAGCTTGTTGTCCAGACCGTTGGCCAGGACCTGGAACCAGAGTCAGAACCAGATGGTGAAAATCCAAACACCGGGTTGAACCCGCAGCTTCCTGTTTCCAAAAGTCTTAACATGGTAAAGAGCGCGGGTCAACAACTGGGTGACGGCCTACCTGACTGTACTTTCCATCCTTCACGTCTTTCTGCCTGTTCAGAAACCAGTCTGGGATTTTGTACTGGCGAGGATTCTGCATGATGGTCACCACCCGCTCCACCTGAACACCACGAACACCGGGGGAAAGTACAGTTAAACAGGAGCTCACTTCAGCTCCATCTACTGGCTGACATGTGAGTTACAGACACGTAGCCCATCATCAAAGATCACTAACGACTTCTTTTGGTTAGAATTAAAACAACATGAAACCAGACACTTTTAGTTTTAGTCATTCAGTGATGAAGAGTAGCAGCGAATCTTCCTGAGACAAAACACATTTATAGCAGTGGTTCTCAAACTGTGGTTTGAGCAAGCGCTCTCTAGTGGTACACGGGGAAGTTTCATAATTTCACATTTTAAACTGAACAAATCTGAAACATAAAATGCACAACTAATAGAACATTTAGAAAAGGTGTAGCCCATTGTGAGATTATGAAACAGGACTGTGTGCAGAGAGACAGGCCTCATTATGTACGTAGGTTCTTACTCTGCAATACATTGGTCAGTTAATATGGCCGAGAGGTTGACTGTCTGTTATTCTGATACAGATGTTAGAGGGTGTTAACAGTGAACCTGGTTTAAGGAGGACCAGCATTTACTAAAAAAAACACATGTTGTGAAGAATGTGTGTGAATTGTTTGACAGAGTTGTTCATGTCTGAGTTAAAGTAAACAAATATCCATCCTAATCAATAAACCTGTGTGTGGTGGGAGCTAACAGGGAGCGTCTCTGCTGCTCTACTCTAACGTTGGTCGTCATGGTGAAGCTCAGAGACCTCCATGTTCTCTCACTGTTTTATAGGATTTAAGACACGATGGATTTGACCAGGCAGCTCAGGAGCAGTTAGTCCATCACGTCACATCTTGACCTCTGACCCCCGTGAGGCAGTCTGCCACTCACCTCCTCCTCCGTCAGTTCTCCCGCTCTTTTGTTCAGGTCGATGTCGGCTTTTCTCAGGACCACATGAGCGTAACGTCTGCCGACACCCTGAAAACGCAGAGAAACGTCCACTGTCGTTACTGACAAGATACAGCATCGTTTTCACGTGACAACAGTTTGAAAATCACGATAACAGCACAGATCAAAGTTTTAGTTTACTTTAACCAAAAAAAAAAACCCAGGAGTGACATCAATACTGTATGAGTGACACGCAGCGTCCACTGCTGGTCCTCAGTGATGACCACACCTTGATGGCCGTGATGGCGAAGGCGATTTTCCTTCGGCCATCGATGTTCGTGTTGAGAACACGAAGAATGTGCTGGAACTTCTCAGGGATGACCAGAGACTGTAAACATGAAGAAAAAAAAACATCATCATGAAGTCTTTGGAAGAACTGACCAGAACAGTCGTCAACAGGTTTGAATAAAGTCACTTCATAGATCAACATTTGAAATTCAAACACGGGACACGACTTCGATCAGTGACGAAAGACATCTACAAACGGAACCAAAGTAAGGATGAATGGTAACGTCAGGTTCGGACCCAGAACACGTCTGTGTCTGGACGTAGAACAAATGAACGACCGGCGGTTTGGTCAACGACGTCTGCCGTTGGACAAAACGTGTTCATTATGTCAACCTTTTCAGCCATTTCCCCAAACACGCGAGTTTGTCACCAGTAATGTTCAAACATGAGTTCGGAGCTTCACCGTCTACCTTGGCTAATGCTAACTAGCTCAGTGGCTAACAACCACAAAGCTCACGGGGACAAAAGTGCTAGACATCGGTAAGAACATTTTTCACTTGATACCAGTTGAAGCCTAAAGACGAAACTTATTCTGAAAACGAAGCAGCAGAATTATTTTACAGAATCTGCTAAAATACAATAATCAAGTCTGTGTAACTGTAAAGCGGCGGTGCGGCTTGGAAAATGGGTATTTATTTAACAGAAACATCCACAATTCAGCAACAAACCATTGGCGGAATATTAAACTATTAAACTGACAGAGTTTAGGTGGTAAATGTTTGAGATTTGTACAGGATGGAGTTGGATAATAACAACAAGACAGCACTAGCAAAAAAACCCACACTCACCATCTTGGAAGGGGGTTCCGTGCGAAAAGGAAGCTGCCGCGATCTCGCGAGAGTTTAATCACAGTTGAGAAGGAACTTGGTCCGTCACTGAAGAACTGTCCGACTAACTTGTAGCTGTAGACAACGACAACAGGAAGAGTTTTCAGGTAAATAACCGATGGAACTTATGAATAAATTATGAAGAGTTGACATAAAAAAAATAACATAAAACTTTGTCATTTAGATTTAATTTAATTAAAATACATACCGTCAGTTACAGTGTAATTCCTCAAATTTAGAAAACACATTTGTCTCAGTGGACTCGTCGTGTGAATCCTTTTCATAATGTATATACTGTGGATTTGATATATCTGCAATTCATATTCATACATCGGTAAAAATATCTATTCAATAAAATAGTATATTTTAATTTCTTTAAATTAACACATTTATAAATGACCTTTTTGTTTTCAGTGCTGCCTTCGTCCAAAATGTAGATCAGACATGCCCAAAGTCCGGTCCGCCAGAAGCGTCTCCCAGCACGGATTCCCACATTACAAAATACACACGTACAAAAGGCAATTTTATATTTCACCAGAAGATGGCAGTAGACTCGTAGCCCGCGTGAGGACAAGACTAAGTGACTCTCACCTGCGTGACATCTTGCGCATCAAAACCACTGTTTTCGAAGGAGAATGGTCCCGTTTATATGGTCCTCCCACCAGGAGGAGAACCCTGTGGTTCCACACCAATGACAGAGACATTGTCTCTGGGTCAAAACACCACGTTTCATTTGACTGTACAGTTCGGTCCTTTATCAAAACTTCTATGAAAAAAATTCAGAATCATATTTTATGAAACAGTTCATTTGTAACGAATGTATTTTTATTTGAACCTTTATCTGATCAGGTGATTGACAACAGATTCTCATTAGGAAAATCAAAACACAGCAGAATAAAAGTCAAGACAAATAAAGAGGAAGAAACTGTACAAAGAGAGAAAGATTTAATGGTTCAAAGGCTGTCAGGCTGAAGGGTCGTTTACACCTGGTCCTGGTCTAAGTCCTGGTCCTGGTCCCGGTCTAGGTCTAGGTCTAGGTCCTGGTCCCGGTCCTTCCCCTCTAAATCTTAATCCTTCCACAAACGGTTGGTTTCACCTGCAGTCACGGACCAGTAGAGGGCACCCAGTGAGAGGAGCAGCAGGAGCAGCACAGCAGTCAAACAGGCCGCCAGCAGCACTGAAGGAACCGGCAGGGGGCGCCGAAGAGCGCCAGGTACCGATGGCAGACGTCCTCCCGGCAGCAGAGACCTTTCAAACAGTTCCTGCAGCTCCTGGTGTCGGTCCGCGGCCCGCGACGTCACCGACAGGTAGAAGAAAAGCCGAACCACGGAGTTGTGCTCCGAGTAGATCTCACACATGACGGTTCCCTGGTGCTGCGGCCCGGTCGTCGGGATGGAGTAAACCCGGTCCGCTCCTGCGTACACCTCCTCAAACCGGTCCAGCTGCCGGGTCCTCAGTCCCTGAGCGAACCTCCAGACCAGCTCCACGCTGACCGGCAGCGGAAACGGCACGTCGCACGACATGGCGCTCCTTTGGCGCTCCGTTACATTCACGTCTGTGATTGGACAGTCGAGAGGCAGCTGGCAGGAGTCGTACTGGCAGCTGCTGCAGTCGTACCAGCCGCCCTGAGTCTGGAAGCCACAGGGCGGGACACAGCCGGAGTCCCGGGACACCCTGGAGGCGGCGGTGATGAAGCGCTCCGCCGCTGCCTGTAACTTCCGCTCGTACACGCTGTCCTCCACCTGTCCGTACTCCAACTCATCGGCCAGAGGCAGGATCTGCGCTTCCAGAATCTTCTTCAGCTCCTGCTCGTGACCTTTGGCCACCCGGCCCGCTGCCACCACCCGGTGGTTGTTGTTGAAGACCACGTCCAGCATCCTGAAGCAGGCGTCCATGTTTCTGATGCCGTACCTGCTCAGGTAGAACCCGGAGCAGAGGCGGGAGCTGTCCTCGGCACTGATGAAGCACTGGTAGCAGCAGTGGGAGGAGCCGGGGAGCAGGAGGACGCTGAGGAGGAGGAGGAGGAGCACACCTGACCGAGACATCATGGACTGGAACGCTTGTGACACCATGTGTGGGTCACTGACACCATGTGTGGGCGACCACAGTGCACTTCCTCTCCTCACTCCACTGTGATTGGCCGTCTCCGCAGCAGTTCTACTTCTGACATTGTTCTCAAGAACCAGTTCCAGAACTGTTGTCCAGTACCGTCCTTTCATGTCACTTTGCCTTTTATGGACAGACTTTAACCACGGACTGAATGTTGTCATCTGTCGCTTAGCAACAAATGACTAGTGATCTGTCAGTGATCTGTCAGTGACTTGTCAGTGATCTGTCAGTGATCTGTCAGTGATCTGTCAGTGAACCTCAGTCTAATAAATGAATATGAATGTTTCACTGAATAAACCAATGACAAAATGATGAAAATATTTCTTTATCTCATTCCATCAATGAACATCAACTCAAATCAACGTCTAAATCCCAGGTTAAACCTGACTCCACTCCTGTGTCCATTCAGTGATAATGTCCAGGCCGACTGGTCATCAAAACACAAAGGTCACTGAGGTCAACTGTGGACCAGTTCTGAGTCCAACAGAGTAGACCATCTGAACATCAGTTCCTAACTCTGGAACAGAGGATCTACATCTGGAATCACCAGAGAAGAAAGAAAAGAAAAGAACAAGAACCAACACCAGGAATATTGGAAAAAAAATCAATAACTGATCAATGACTGAGGAGATTGATCTGGGATCAGGAGATACTTCAGTGGGTGGATGTTTCTTAGAGCCCCAGCAGCAGTAGAACCAGCAGCAGTAGAACCAGCAGCAGTAGAACCAGCAGCAGTAGAACCAGCAGCAGTAGAACCAGGTAAATAATCCAGGACATTTTAAAAACTTTTATTAATGAATAAATTCCTCTTTTTTTTTCAGACATTAATTAAAATCTGTTCAGAAAATGAAACGGCTGATTTTGTTCTGTACAAACCCGTCTGTTTCCTCTGTTCTGATTGGCCGGCCGCTACTCTGACATCATCAAAAATAAGCGGAAGTCTCTTCAGAGTCTGTTTTCTCATTGGCTGAGGCCGTGCCGTCAGTTGATTGGCTGGTAGGTGGAGGCCGTGCTGACGGACGTCGTCCTCCGTACGCAGACCCAGACTCCGCCCACCAGCAGGAGGAGCAGCGGCGCTCCCAGACCCACCGCCATGATGGTCACAACCAGGGGAGAGAAGGAGTCGACGGGAGGGGAGCCGACGCCCACCAGCAGAGTCCTGGCGGAGAGAGGGCGGAGACGTGTCAAGAAGACAAAAGCACACGGACCAATCACAGAAGAGCCACACCTACCAGGACAGGAACCTGGTACTGTTGAAGAACGGGTCTCCGGCCGCGCCAAAGCTCACGTTGAGTCCAAACGTTTCTGGGTTGGAGTAAAACCCCTGGATCAGGGCCGAGGCCGAGGCCGTCTGATTCCCGCTGTGAGGCCGGGGGGCGGAGCTCCGGCACGCCGTCGCATCCTCCAGGGAACGACTGGAGTTCCGGTACGCCACTGGACGCCACTGGACGAACCACGGGACGTCAGGAGTGCTGTTGACCGATGAAACCCACTCGGACATCTGGAAGAAGACCAACTGATCAATCAACTGATCAATCAATCAACTGATCAATCAACTGATCAATCAACTAACTAATTGATTGAGAAGCCATTAGGGACAGCCGTCCTCTGGGAATCTGACCGCTAACCACTGCACCACCATGTTCACCTGTCAGCTGTCAATCATTCACTGATGACAGCATTCTGATTGGTTCGTCACCTGGAAAATTGACGGCGTGAACTCATCGTCGATCGATCGACGAACGTTGACTTTGTTCAGAGGATAGGCTCCGCCCACCGACTGCAGCTCCACCAGGAACCTGGACTGAGCCGAACGTGGAGAAAAGCCGTGGAGCCACAGCTCCAGCTGGGTGGAGTTAGCCGTGTGGAGGAGGCGGGGCCACTGCTGACCACGCCCCTCAGAGTCAAACACTGACAACTGGACAAAGACATAGAATTATACTAACGGATGACGTCATAGGCTCACGTCGATGATGTCACGACCTCAGTCTCTGACCTTCAGACAAAACCAGCCGTCGCTGGTGTTGGGGGCGGAGCCACAGAGCAGCGCTACAGGACCAGACAGGTGAAGACGAGACCACGTGAAGTCCTGCAGCCGGTACTCTGGGAAGAGGTCAGAGGTCGGGTCGGCCGTGTCATTGGCATCATCGTACTCCAGGAGCTGGGTGAGCGAGAGAGAGAGAGAGCGAGTGAGTGGAACTATGTGGAGTGCGTCCGTCCGTCCGTCCGTCCGTGCTTCATACCTTAGTAAAGACAACAGCTGTGCTGGACAGGAGGCTGTTCTCTGGCTCCACCTTCAGGCTGCCGCTGGTGTTACGTGCCAAGAACAGGGTCCAGTTGACCTGAGGAGGAAAAGAAGGTGATGATGTCAGAGAGGACACACACACACACACACACATACACACATATATTCTGTTGAACAGATTTTGACATAAACGTTGGACCAAAAACATAGAGTTTAAAAACAGACGTTTTAAAAATGTGTCATGACCTCTGACCTCTGACCTGGACGGTTGAAGTAGTCGTATTGGTGTGGAGGATCAAAAGTGTTGGCGCCCCCAGGCTGCAGAAAAGGAAATGCAGTGTGTCGTTGTCTCCCACAGCTCTCGCATGCAGCAAATCTCCACCAGCAGGGGGCGACAGAGCACCAGGATTTAATTGTAAAAACAACTGAAGGAGAGAAACACGTCAACGTGAGCTCCTTGAATGTGAGGTCCATGACTCCATCGACCAGGGATGGCTGTGATTGGCCAAAAAACACTGATCTAAAACCAATCATTGTTGATGGTACTACGTGGTCAAAAATTGACCAGTAGGGGCAGTAGTGTCAGTGTGGCTAGCCGTTTAAACATTTAAACGCTAAGTTTCACTCTCCACAATTAACATTGTTGATATCAACGTCTTTCCGACTCAGCGTAACTGTCAGGTGACATATCTGTGACGTCATTCTGACAGTTACGACTAGTCAGAATCAAACTGTCGATTTGTCAAACCAGAGTTACAGATAACTGTAACTAACGTCGTGGACATCTGTTATTATGGAACCGTACAAACGAACGTCAAAGGTGACGTCATCTGCCCTGGGAAGAATGTCGTTGTGGAAATCGAACATGTTGTTTTTGACTAGAACTGAGTTCGTTAGAATCTGACCATGTTAAAAAGTGAAAACCCACATGGAGCACGCTCCATCAGTGACGTCAGAGAGAGAGACAGAGAGAGACGTCATCGTTTTCATATTAACCAAAACATCGTATCAGACAGGAAAAGGACTGCCTTCTGAACCGAACCGGTCCAGTTGGCCCGGTGTGACTGCTTCTGTTACGGTGACTAAGAAGCGACACCGACATTTAAGGAAGTGGTTTCAAACCGCTTTACAGTTGTTTTTCTGAAAACAAAAATACAACATTCAAAAAGACTTCATTGTACTTCCGTTTCCGCTGAACTTTCCCACAAGTCTCTTTGTTTTCATGTCACTCACCGTTCTCTCCGACGAACTGGAACACGGTGAAGGAACAGAGAGGAGAACCAGAAAGAACAGAGAACCAACTCTCACACTGACCGCCGCCGCCATCTTTACTAAGACGCTGAGCCGCGGGTCACATGACTTCCTGCTCGTCACCTGACCGTTTCGCTGAAACTCAGAATAAAAAAACATCCGTCCACTGTCTACCGCCAATTGTCCTGCAGGGGCGCTGTAGCCAATCCCAGCTGTCTACGGACGAAGACGGGAAGTAGCGTGTGATCGAATGGTAGAAATTAAAAGTCCCCGGATGATCGAGTTGTTCGTATTTAAACAGGTCAAACAGTGACGTCAGCACTGAGTCAGAGACCTGTTCTGATGTGACTGTAAAAAGGACAGAAACACCGAGCGTCAGTTTGAGGTTTATTACAATAAAAAACAAACAGCGCCTTTATTTTGAAAGAACAGGAAAAGAAAATGTCAAGGATTTTGAATGAAAGTCACATGACACTGACACTGCACTGAAGATCACCACAGGAGGTCAAAGGTCAGGTTCCAACTTTTATTATACTTTATCACCATCTGGTCCCCACTCTCTCTGTCTCTCACACACACACACACATACACAGACTGGAGGAGTCAGTGACGGAGACTCTACTCTGCTCCTGCTCCACCTCCTGCTCCACCTCCCTGCTCCTTGTCTTTCTTCTTGTGACCAGAGACGATGTCGTCGATGCGCAGCAACAGAATGGCCGTCTGGAAGAACAGGTGACAGAACTGTTGACATCGGTACTACAGGGACCGGGTCCACATCAGTACTACAGGGTACCGGTCCACATCAGTACTACAGGGTACCGGTCCACATCAGTACTACAGGGTACCGGTCCACATCAGTACTACAGGGTACCGGTCCACATCAGTACTACTCTGACTAGATGTTGTATTTTGTTAATCTGAATATGGAATAAGCACTGACTATATTTCATTTCTCCTAGTCCTTGTTCTAGTTCTAGTCATTTCATTTCTCCTAGTCCTTGTTCTAGACCTAGTTCTAGTTCTACATTTAGTTCTAGTCCTAGTCCTAGTTCTAGTCCTAGTCCTAGTTCTAGTCCTAGTCCTAGTTCTAGTCCTAGTTCTAGTCCTAGTTCCGTCCATGGAGACGGTGTTTTGTGAACAACTAGAAGTGGACTGACCTCCACGGCGGTCTTGTAGGTCTGGGCCTTGACGGCCAGAGGTTCCCAGATTCCCAGAGCTGCCATGTCACACAGAGATCCAGTTTCTCCATCCACCCCCCAGGAGGCGCTGTTCTCCTGCGTGTGCTTTGCCTGAACAGAAACCATGTTAAACGTTAGCGACGGTTGTTTGAAGGACGTTCGGCCTCAGTTGTGGTTCTGGTCCATGGAGGTTCACCCTGAGCGAGGTCAGAACTCTGATGGCCGACGCTCCGCAGTTCTGAATCAAGGTTCTGGGGATGACCTCCAGAGCCTGGGCCACGGCGCGGTACGGCCACTGTTCGACTCCGGTCAGAGCGCGGGAGCGCTCCGTTAGACGCTTAGACACGGCCATCTCTACAGCGCCACCTCCTGGCAGCAGATAGGGGTCCAGCAGCACATTACGACAAACCTGCATGCCATCCTGAAGGTTCCTGTCCACCTCCTGAAGGTGGAGCACAGACATGGAGACAGAGGGTGAGGAGACGACGCCGTGACAACCAGGAGGAGAATAAAGAGGAGAACGTTCTCACCGCCAGGATCTCCTTGCTGGGTCCTCTCAGCAGGATGGTGCAGGCTTTAGGATCTTTGCACTCAGTGATGAAGGTGAAGTACTCATCACCGATCTTCTTCACCTCAAACAGACCAGCGCCCGTGCCCACGTCTTCTTCACGAAGCTCATCGGTCCGACTGACGATACGAGCACCGCACGCCCTGGAGAGAGAGAGAGAGAGAGAGAAACTTAACACCTACCACACCACAGAGGAAACCAGAGATATTAGTTCAGACCAAAGTCCATAAAATGATTTAAAGTGTAAAAGTAAAGGCCATCAGGGGTCATTTCCTGCAGAGAGCTGATTGGTTTACCTGGCGATGCGGTTGTTGTCAGTCTTCCTGACGCGGCGGATGGCTGTGATGTTGGCCTTTACCAGGTAGTGCTGAGCCAGATCTGTGGAGCACAAAGAAACAGCGATGATGTCACTCTGTGTGAATGTGTGACATCACAGACCTGGGGTTCAGAGGTCAGAGACCCTGTACCTGAGATGCCCTTCTCTGTGAAGATCAGGTCAGGTTTGATACGGATGATGTCCTCACAGATCTGCTGGATGTACTCCTCCTCCATCTGCAGGATTCGAGCAAAGTCGTCCTCCTTACTGATCTCGATGTCAGTCTGTGGAAGCAGTGCTTCAGGACCAGCAGTGAGTCAGGACCAGCAGTGAGTCAGGACCAGCAGTGAGTCAGGACCAGCAGTGAGTCAGGACCAGCAGTGAGTCAGGACCAGCAGTGAGTCAGGACCAGCAGTGAGTCAGGACCAGCAGTGAGTCAGGACCAGCAGTGAGTCAGGACCAGCAGTGAGTCAGGACCAGCAGTGAGTCAGGACCAGCAGTGAGTCAGGACCAGCAGTGAGTCAGGACCAGCAGTGAGTCAGGACCAGCAGTGAGTCAGCGACACCACAGGAGTGTGTAGTAAACGTCACCTGACTCTCTCCTTTCTTGTACTCCAGAGAACAGTCCAGAAGGACGATCCTCGGCTCTTTGATGCTGCGTCTCATCCGTGGGTGAGTCACGTCCTTGTTGACCATGACTCCTTTGAGGACGCACGAGTCTTCGATGATTCCACCTGGAACCTGAGGGTGGAGGTGAGCGATGGTCAGAACAGGGGGGCGGGGCCGAGGTGGTCCGCAGCAGGGGGGCGGGGACTCACCTTCTCCACCTTGGCGTACTTCTTGATGTCGATCTCCTTGCGTCCGTTCTCCTCCAGCTCCACCGTCTTGACGGCGTCCAGGACGATGTTACAGGCCAGATCTGACCAGCGGCTCAGAGCTTTGGTGTTGATGGCAGAGTGGACGATCTTCAGCATCATGGAGCGGTCGGAGACGTCCACCGGGACACTGGACAAGCAGCAGGACAGAAGAAAGTTTCAATGGAAAGACAGATCCAGGCGCCCTCTTGTGGCCGTGTGTGTGTGAGAGCGTGTGAGCGGTCGTACCTGACCTCCCTCAGAGCCTCCAGCATGTCCTCCAGAGCCTGTCTGTAGGCACCGATGATGACGGTCGGATGCATCTGCTGCTCCAGGAACTGCTCTGCTACAGACAACATCTCCCCAGCTGCAGGACAAGAGGACACGGGGACAAGAGGACAAGAGGGACACACGGCCCTGTAAGAACACGACGGTGTGGCAGTTCACACGAGGACGCACTAACATCACTTCCTGTTACCCACCCAGGATGATGACGGACGTGGTCCCGTCTCCAACCTCCTCATCCTGAGTCCTGCTGATCTCTATCATGGACTTGGCGGCCGGATGCTGGACCTGGAGCTGTTGCCACGGAGACACGGCAGAGCGTTAATGAAGATGTCGGTGATGTAAGAAAACACAAGTAAGAACAACAGCAGCTTCCTGTCACCTCTCTGAGGATGGTGTTCCCATCGTTGGTCATCACGATTCCTCCTGTGGGGTCCAGCAGCATCTGTGTACACACACACACACACACACACACACACACACATCAGTGTCTGTTGGTCCTCTGACTCCTGTGCTGATGAAATGACGTCACGGCGGCTCACCTTCATCATGGCCCGTGGGCCGAGGCAGGTCCGGATCACATCTGCTATGGTCTGGACACAGATGAAAACAACAGTAAAGCAGTGGACTGTGAAGATCAACCAATCACGTTGCTGACACCTTTACCTTGGCAGCAGTGATGTTTCCAATCTGGACCTTTCGTCCAGATTCTCTCTTGACGTTCTGATCTGGAGAGAAAAGCAACAAAAGTCATGAAAAATAACGAATTGTTTCCACAGATTTAACGTTTCTTTTTTTTTTTTTGTTCAAATCTGAATCATGTTCTGGTTTAAATGTATGATCGATAAGGGCGGTGCTTTAGCCTCCCATTAGCATAAAGTGCTCGATGACTGTGCCGCTTTATGAGCAGCTAACGATATAAACACAACTGTGGGTTTTATTTTGACAAAGACACAGTAAAAGAGACATTTGGTGGAAAAAGCTTTCGATCATTTCCTGCGGACTAACGCTAGCTAAGCTTTAGCTCCAATTGTCTACAACGATGTGGTTGCCGATAGCATCAGATAGCATGGCTAGCTCCGCAGGAAGCACGTGCCGCTCCGGCAGCAGCGAGTAAAGCAGCACGAACCGGCACCGAAGGACTTCACGAGAACCGTGAGGATTTTAACGGAAAGAACGAAAACCGAGAAAATAGAAAAAGGCACATACTGAGAACTAAGACCTGCTGTCCGAGCATTGTTCACGGGTAGAGCCAGCAACACAGCAGTCTGGAAGCTTCTGGAGGGAGCGGAAGAGGAGGAGCCACTGACAGGAGGGCGGGGACGTTAGGAGAAGCAACTAATCAGAACACAGGACAAATATAACTGACCGCCGCTTCTACCAATCCAGTAACAGCCTGGTTCGAGGCGACGCCTCGGCCTTTTATGGACGAAAGAGACGAGACCCTTGAAATATGACAGGTTTTAGGAGCGAGAAGAGACGCTAAGAAGACTTTGATGTCCTGCCTGTGATCCGTGTTATCGAGGCAAAACCGAAGAGTTCTAAAATGTTCCACAACCAAACGTTTGAAACGAACGGATTCTCTGATCGTTTAGTCAAATAAAAAGCATCAACAAAGAAACGTGGCTGATGTCGAGTCTCCAACACATCAGAGTCAAAGAAACTCCTCAGACAAAGATTTCATTCTGATATAAAACATTTATTTGCATTTGTGTCACTAGTTCATAGGTAGAAATTAATTATGAAATGAACACAAACATCAAGTCTTCTTCGTCTGAATCATTGTTCAAGGAACATAATGACAACATGTGTGAATCCTGGAAAAATAAATAAATAAATAAATAGAAAAGTAATCAAGAATAAACGGGTGTTAATAGCAGCAGCTGTTCTTACATCACTTCCTGTTTCTAGTCTTGCTCTCTCTCTCACACACACACACACACACACTGGTCATTGCACATCGTTAATGGACAAAACAAACAGATTGGGTCAGAGTTCATCCTTGGACTGGTCCGACGTCAGGCTGCGGCCCGTCTCACGTCTGAGGAACTTCAGGAAGTCTTTCAGCTCCCGAAGGCCCTGAGAGAGAGAGAGAGAGAGAGAGACTTCCTGTCATCATTATTCCACTTCCCTTCACAGTTCCAGGACAGAGATATAAAAAGTCAAGTGAACGACGGTTTCACCTCGTAGCGAATGGGATCGTCTTTTCTTCCCACTGGAGCAAAATAAATGGTGGGAAACCTGGCCAATCAGAAGGACACATTAGGAAATGATCAATTGGTTTAAGAAACAAAAACAATCATGAATAAATCGCATCGTCAACAGAAGAAATCGTGAATCACACTTGTGAATTAAATGTATCTTTACACATTAATGTCGCCACCTTGTTGTCAGGAGGTGTAAGTGCAGTCATTACTCAGTAGATGAAAAGTAAGATGAAAAGAAGACCACACGGAGGTCTACGCTGACCTGTCAGGTGTCTATACCAGGTCAATAAAACCACAGTCACTTTGACTCTGACCCACCCGCCCCCCCCAACCCCCCCCCCCCCGACTCACCCCTGGACGTCGTAGCTCAGTGGAACGTCGTTGTCCACACCGTTCATCTTCACCACCACCATGTTTGGATCAGCTGACACCTGAGGAACACAGTCAGCTCAGAACACACTCCAGGCAGTACATCCACACACAGACAGGGGGCAGTCCTGGGTCAGCTTTTGGCCAACTTGAAGATTTAACCATTTTGATTAGTTAGCTGTTCATGGACGGTTGATGCTAGCCTTTTCTGAGCTAATACTGCGTCAGCCTCTGGACAGACCTTGGGTTTGTTCTTTGGCTCTGAACTCTAGCGCCATCGTCTGGATTTTTTTAATGAAAGTCGTTTTTTTTTACGTCTTTGTTCAATGTAAACAGACTGTTGGACTTTTATCTTCTTTTTTTTCTTATTCCCTTTAGCCACCAGTGACTCTTTAACATTGGCCTAACTGTTAGCCGTTAGCTCATTCGCACCTGCTCCGCTAGCTCCGTGTAAATGGGCTGCAGTTTTTTACAGTGTGAACAGGACGGTGAGTAGAACTGGATCAGAACGTCTTTGTCCGGATCGTTCACCATTTTGTCGAATGTCTCTGCGACCACCACCTGCGGAGAGGTCACACCGAGGTCAAAAAGAGGTTAAATGTCCCCCTCCGACCACCCCCCCCCCCCCCCCCCTCCC